AAAAATGCGCAAGGACTTCGCCAAAGATTCATCAGAGCTTGGGGAAAACTCAACAAGGTTGATAGCAAGACTCTGGGACACAAGAACTCCATCCCTCTTGAGCCCTATCTCAAGTGGGTACGAGCCCGAGCCCAAAGTCTAATGATGCCTTATCCTCATGTACTCCCAGTAATTAAAGAGCCCGTCAATGAAGGAGAGGTCCCCTACACCATCCTACATCCAGACATGCCTACATCGTGGGAGGAAATGCAGAAAAGTTAGATTCAGCTCAAGGAAGAACGGAATACTTTTGAAGCTAGCTTCTACGCCAGTGAGAAGAAGGTTCTAGAGCTTACCCGCCGACTCCACGAGCAAGAGGCCCTCAACACCTACATCGCACCAAAGAGGATGCGCAATGTCTTTCTGCCTTAAGAAGTTTATTTTGTAATATTTGGCCCGTGGGGCATTTATGTACTAACAAATTTCTTCTTATTAATATGACGTGCGTTCTTCTTTGTCTGAAACAATTTTGAATGTTCTAAATCCTTGAAAACATTGCATACATAAGCATACCATTCATCATGTTCATAAGCAGGTCTCACTCCAGGTTTCCTTATCTGTCTGCTGTTTATTTCAGTAGGATGGATCTCGAGCAAACAGTCAAAGACCTACAAGCTCAGAATGCACAGTTCCAGCAACTCCTGATGACCTTGGCTAAAGGTCAGGAGGATATCAAGACTCAATTGGGGAATAAGGACCCAGTGAAAAAGAAGAAAAAGAGGATTGGGGTGGCTACTTTGGGGAGAAGATTTGACGGAGAAGCTCGGAGAGTGCTTGAATTTCCTCCTACTTCTGATGAAGGGACTAGTAAAAGAGATGGAGTTGCGGTGCCTTCCGAGTCTGATGCGGAGGAAGAAGAGGTTGAAGAGGATGAGGATTATTCTGACCAGCAATACCCTCCAGCTGATGATAAATACAAGGGTTTAGAAGACAGATTGGCTGCCATGGAGCTACAAAGAGTACCGGGTTTGGATTTTGAAGACTTGGGTTTGGTTGTCGGGATTGTGATTCCCCCAAAATTCAAAGTGCCATTGTTTGTGAGGTATGATGGGCTGTCCTGTCCAAAAATGCATCTCAGGTCCTACGTGAGAAAGATTCAACCCTATACGGCAGATAAAAATCTCTGGATTCATTTCTTTCAAGACAGCCTTTCGGGAGCTCAGTTGGAGTGGTTTTATCAGCTAGAAGGAACCAGTGTCAGGAATTGGGAAGATTTGGCCACCGCTTTCTATAAACAATACCAATATAATTCTGATCTTGCTCCTACTCGTACCCAACTTCAGGGTATGTCACTAGGAACAAGTGAGGGATTCAAAGAATATGCACAAAAATGGAGGGATTTGGCTGGCAGGGTGCAGCCTCCTTTAACCGATCGTGAGCTCGTTGATATGTTTCTTGGGACCCTATCTGGGCCATTTTTCAATCATCTAATTGGTAACTCTTCCGCAGGGTTTACCGATTTGATCTTAACAGGCGAAAGAATAGAAGCTGGCATCAAGTCAGGAAAGATTCAGAAGGGTGTTGCTGCAAGTGTTGAGAAGAAGCCTTTTAAGAAGGAAACAGCTGTGGTATATTCTTAGAGAAGAGCAGGGAAGACGGAGCGTCGGCCAACTGTGGGGGCCGTAATGATTCAAAACACTCCAAGCGAGCAGCCTCGCTGTAACCAGTCCAGACCAAATCAACAACGAGTGGAACGGCCATAACGGCAGTTCACCCGTATTAATATGACTCCAGCGCAAGTGCTTCCCCATCTATTGAAGTTAAACCTCGCCATCATCAAGGAGGCACCAAAGAATGTGAATACGTCCTCTCCGCATTATCATGCCAATGCTAAATGCGCCTACCATTCAGACAGTGTTGGACACGACACCAATGATTGCTGGGCACTCAAGCATAAAATCCAAGACCTGATAGAGGCTAAGGAGGTAGAGTTTGACGCTCCAGAGAAGCCTAATGTGATATCTGCACCCATGCCTAAGCACGGCCGAAATGTCAACGCCATTGAAGAAGATTTGTATGTTGCTGATGTCAGTGATCTGACTACTCCGCTGCTAACCATTAAGTTGAATCTGTTGAGGGCCGGGATCTTCCCGGGATGTAAAGAAGACTGCTATTGTTGTTACTCTCTGACGTTTGATTGTCCGTTATTGAAGAAAGGCATCCAAGGCCTTATGGATAGTCGACAAATTTTGTTTGAAAAAGTTTCTGCTGTTCCAGTTCATACTGAAGATGTCTCAATCATAACCATTCACGCCAATCTTTCCAAGGCCGTCAAAAAGCCTGTTAAGATTACACCAGCTGCAAAATCTGTTCCTTTGAAGATAACAATGCCAGGGCCTGTTCCCTATGTTTCTGAGAAGTCGATACCTTGGAACTATGGCGGTGACATCTACTACCATGGTATCAAGCTAATCGAGGTAATTGAAGAAAGTTCGGATGATGAAGAAGCCAGCATTAGTAACATTGCGGGCACCAGCAAAATCACCAGGAGCGGGAGAATATTTTCTCCAGAGATTGCCCCTCCAAGAGCAGTCTTTGGACCCTCATAAGCTAACGAGGTCATCCCTGCACCAATAAAACCCTCTGCTAGAACTCCTCTGATTGAAGACATTTTTGTTCCTAGTACTGTCTCTCCTACCGCTGCTGACAAAGGTAAGGGAATCCAAGATGAGCCCGTCAGGACGAGGGTTCAACCCTTGGTAATCCCGGAAACCTCCAAGAAGGAAATGGACGAGATTTTGAGGATAATCAAAAGAAGTGATTACGATGTGGTAGAACAGCTGGGGAAAACCCCCTCCAAGATCTCCATGCTGGCACTACTACTTTGCTCAGAAGCGCACGCTAAAGCTCTGACAAAATTCCTGAAGGCAGCCCACGTGCCCCAGGAAACCTCTGCGGATCAATTTCAGAATTGCGTGGCTAGCCTGACTGCAGACAATGGATTAGGTTTTTGTGATGCCGACCTAACTCCTAAAGGTAGAAACCACAATGATGCTTTGCACATTTCAGTCGAGTGTCGAGGAACTACTCTCGCACATGTCTTGGTTGATACTGGTTCGTCGCTGAATGTTTTGCCTAAGAAGGCCTTGGACCGACTAGATTGTGAAGGATTGGAATTGAAGCCAAGTGATATTGTTGTCAGAGCTTTCGATGGTTCGAAGAGAATGGTCCATGGAGAGGTTGAAATTCCCATCAAGATAGGCACCGAGGTGTTTAAATCCACTTTCTATGTGATGGACATCCGTCCATCATATTCTTGCCTGCTGGGTAGACCTTGGATACACCATGCTGGGGCAGTCACCTCCTCCTTACATCAGATGTTGAAGTATCCTGTTAAGGGAAAGATCATTACCGTCCATGGCGAAGAAGAGTACATGATTAGCCACTTAAATTCTTTCCGGTATGTGGAGGTTGAAGGAGAATTCATTGAGACACCGTTTCAACATTTCAAAGAGGTACTTCCTGAAATAGCAGTAGCGAAGTTGACGGCTAAGACACCGAGGCAGATGGCCAGGATGGCATCTCTGGAGGATGCAAGGGCCGCAATAAAAGAAGGGAAGAATTCATCATGGGGGCAGTTACCCGACTTTCCACATAAGACTGACAAGTTTGGGTTAGGGTTCACAGCCGCCGGCCAGAAAGCTATGCGCCGTGCGAAGATTGAAAGGGCGCCAGTCAAAATTTCTCCCTACGGAATCAACGCCCTGGAAGGTGAAGACAAGGAGAGCAACATTGAAGAGTGGATTTATCCAACTGTCGAAGGAGGATTGAGCAACTGGGAGGCGAAGGACTTTGTCCCCATCACTTTTATTCATCAGTAATTTATCTGTTAAACATTTCTTATTTGGACTGTAACATTTACTTTCAAACAATCTGTACACTATCTTTTCACCTCCTGCCTTGCCCGGGGCATGTAGGTCCATTTGTAAGGGTTTTGATTATTTTTCATATCCATGTGCCATGTTTAATGATTCATTGGAAGTTTTTCATTTGATAAACTGCTTATGTTCATTTTCTTTCCTTTTGCATTTTTTGTTTAAGGATGGCTATCCCTTACACACACCCACACTCACCAATGCAGGTACCCATCCACTCCGGATTCCATGGGTGACTATTCTGCTATATCTTCCAACAACTCTGAAGATCTGGTCAATCTAGCCGAGTATGAAGATGACGAAGGTTGTGAAGTACCCGGGGAACTAGCCAGACTTCTGCAACAAGAGGAAAGGGCCATCTTACCGCATGAAGAGCCATTGGAAACTGTTAACTTGGGAACCGAGGAAGACCGGAAGGAGGTGCAAGTGGGTGCCAATCTGCTTTTGACCGTGTAAGATCCTCGGCAATGTAGAGCGTAGATCAAAGCATGGACGTGTCTATCCAGATTCACCCCCTTATTTGTAAGTATAATCTGAAACACCACCATGATTAATATCACTTATTCCTTATCCATATAAACGTTATTAAGGTACAAGTTAACATCACTCAAATCCTAACACTGATTACCTGGAAATAAAATATCTGACACCATGCGAGTTTAGGTATAAGTTTATATTTTTGCTCTAACAATTTCTATTTGCACAAAAGTTTTATAAATCACAAGCGTGTGAGTAGACTAGAACATCACGAAGTAAAGCTATGCCTTAAGTAGAACAAAGACACTTTATATAAGGGTAACATAGAAATCCACTAACAACGAAGTCACAATACATACAAAAAAAGCGGCAGGGGCACAAGATTCCTATTAAAGAATAGAGATAATATGACCATCTTGAACAACTTAATCTGAAAGGATTTGAACTCTCGAAACAATTAGTGGGTGATGAAAATTCTCCACTTGTTGCAGTGTATTTTCAAAAGACTCCACAACCGCTCTAAGGTTCAGAGACAAATTGTTACAACTCTCCTTGAGAAGATTTTAGAGCTCGGGTCCTTTCTTTGAACGTCTTCAACAAATGCACTTCCTAACTACCAACAATGCCAACAAAGTTGAATGAAGCCAAAGTTTTACGTACCTCCTGTAGAGAATTATGATATTTATGCAATTCCCTTAAATAAGTATCCCACTGGGATGCCAAAATGTTCACACTCCTCTCCACCCAGACCCTTTCCTCACACGCCTGGTCAAACCAAAGAGCTTTCCAACATTCAAATCTAGCCAAGGACAAAGCAATGGAATTCTGCTTAGCAGAACGATCCAAAACATACAACTCTTCCTGTGAGGACTTCTCAGAGAGACCGACAAAAAATTCCCATACATCGTCAAAGAGAGAATCGCGACAATCATAAGAAGGGATAGGTAGAGATTCATGATTCACATGTGAGCCCGAAAGAGGAGGAAGATTTTCATCAGGACTAGTTAGTTATATTCCCCACTTTAAGATTCATACCCTTACTTCATCCTCCATTACACATGCACAAAAATACAATTGTTATTCCAAGACAAACAATGTGAATGAAAGTCAATGGTGAAGAATAAAGAACCCATAACTTACCAAAGACAACTCAGTGACCTTCACGAGAATGAGACTCCATCAACAAGGAAACATCCATCAGACACTTTTGACTCTTTTTCTCAATCTCGTCCGAGGGGACCACACCCCCGACATAACCCAAATGGTTGACAAAATCTAACCACTTCTTCTTCTAAAAATAATCCTCGGCGGTAAATTCACTTTATTTTTAAATGTATGATCCATTCTCTAAAAGAAAGTGCTTCACTAACTAGCAATGGGGAATCAATGACTTATTCCACTCTCGGCGCAACCATAGAAACAGATGCGTGATCCTCGGGGTGAAGGGGTGACCAAAAAGAACCCGTCCATGAATGAAAGTGGTTCATGAAAAGCTTTAAAAATCCATATTGTTGGCACCAAAGTAACTAAATCCTGCCCTCTTGGCCGAGACAAAGTGCTTCGATCATAGTGAAAGAGATGAAAAAACATGACAATGTTGGGTTTTCCCTTCAGATACTCACACCAGCGCTGATAAGCTTTAACGTACGTCCAACTGGTGGGATGAAGTTGAGATGGAACCACCATCAAATAGTTAAGAACATAAACTCCGAAAGCGGTAAAAGGAAAACAGACTCCCAAAGACAAAAACATATACTCATTCATAGGAATGGTACGATTACCATACTCGTTATACATTTTGTCTTCGTCACTAGGAATTGTAATCCCCAGTGCGACAGTTCACTGACATCGGAAAGAGCCCCATCTAAGTTCCCCTCTTTAGTGAAGATTAAGACAGTTAAAGAAAAGATGAAACCTTCCCAAGGAGAAGATGGGTTCACCGTATTCTTTTTAACTATTTTTTGAGGTCTCTTCTCCATATCACAGTGGTAAATTCAAGAGAAAAGAAGAAATGTTTCAAATGGAAATAAGAGACACACGATTCTGAAACAAGAGGAAAGAAAAACCTAGAATAAATAAGTGACTCTGGTGTTAGACAATGACAACTTATCTATAGGATAGGGTGGGTGGGGATGAATAGATTCACAAAGAAAATTTTCACTTAAAAAGATATTTTCAAATATTAAGCAAAAACTATGGCAAGCGAAAGTTATATCTTAGATCACAAGTCGTCCAAACTGAACTGATTATTGGAGGATCGAATATGCGTAATATCAAACTCAATTAAATGATGATGATAACATGTTAATACAATAAATTCTCAAATAATTGTTTTACAATTACAAGACTAACCAATATGCAATGAAATAATTGATAAAACTAAGTGAAACAATTTATCGAACACTTGGTATGCACTTAATTTTTCGGATTTCCCTTTGAACTTTGTTTGTATGAAATACCTCTTACAATCTAATAGATTATAAGATAATCAACAAATCAATTTAACAATCAAAAGATTTGTCTATAGAAATCAATTGCACAATCAAAGAGTTTAACAAATTGCTAATAAAATGTAAATGAGAGAGAGAGAGAGAGAGAGAGAGAGAGAGAGAGAGAGAACGAAACAAGGATTTGTTTAGGTAGTTCACCAATCTTCCTCGCTTTGGCTACACCTGCCGCCAATTTCGTTTGGAATTGAGATGAAAATTCTTACTATACAAAAATTTGTTTACAAGAAAAATGTAGTAATACAACCCTACAAATCCCATGTTTTATGTTGATCCTAGAAATTTCTCTTCTCTTGATATGAGTTTGATCAAGTTACCCAACAATACCAATTTGATACACCATCTCGCGCTACTCCTTACAAGAAACCACCATTCTTCAAAGATATTCACTCGGCCGAATCCAAATTGCGAATTATTATCACCTAAGATTTCCAAATGATTCACCGTCTCGCTCTACTCCTTGGCAAGAACATTTTGTTCTTCAAAGCCTTTCACTCGGTCGAATCCAATATTTTCAAAACTTTGTAAAAAATCTCAAATTCACACTTTGATCTTGAGGTAAAAACTCTCACCGTTTCTTTGATGAAACCCGATATGATTCTCAACCAAACCTTAGGTTACAACCAACCTAAATTGAACGTTATCAATGAAGTCTAGATGGCACCCAAACAATGAATAATTATGTGTACTTTGTTTGTGTGTATGCATATATGCAAGATTGAATATGACGAGCAATCTTAGTATGTGTGTATACTTTCATTAAATCAGAAATGATGCATGTATGAAGTATATATAGATGTGCAAGTTAGAGGAAAAAGTGAAACCTAGAAGTTTGAAAAGGAAAATAAATTTTGAAAAATACTGACACATGCATTGACACATGTAAGTCATGTGCCAAAACATGTAATGACACGTGTCGACCTATTTGAGGTCATTGTGTCGACACAAAGTTACAGAATCTAAAAGCTTTAAAATAATAGTACATGTGTTGACACAAAACACGTATGCGTAGACACATAGAATGTTTCATAATGACATGTATCGACCTGAGATGAGGAGTATGTTGACACATAGTTACAGACATGTTCTAGATGCATGATTTTTATGTTCTACATGCAACTAATTTTTATGTAAAAATTGATTATTAGTGCATGATACCTATTGACAAACTTTTCAAACATGTTCTAGATGCATTCTAAGATCCCTAATGCAAGAGTGCACACAATAACTCTTAGATACCGTTCAATATATAGAAAAGCTAAATCTATCTTAAAATTTTGACATCTTGCAAAACACCTATCTAAGACGAAAATGCATTCACATCTAGTTCTTCCCACATTTATGAAATGGACTTACGAAACGAAATGTGTCTTATCAAACAATCACTTCTCTGGCACGTAATACTTGAGTATTTGAGTTCCCTAGATAGATTATAATCACTCCTTCAAAGACATTTGAAGTTACAGAGCAGTTGAAGCAAAAAAAATATGTCTGATAGTCGGTGTATGAGAATACTTCAAACCCCCGCCCCTATTCCTTAAGTGCAAGGACTTGGAGGCAACTGTTCTGAATCGACCATATCCTCGGCGATCCGGCCCCACCTTCAAAGATCTGACCACCGTAAATGAAGAACTCCCTAGATTGATCTGATTCAGCCATATTTCTTTTCTGAGTCGGTTACCACAAAGCATAACATCCATAATCCAACTCAACTAAATACTAAAGCTTTTGGAACATTCTCCTGGCCAGTGGACTTTCAGAAATCTAGAAGCATGAAATCCATCCCTCTAACGCATCTAACGGTCCTCCGCATTCTACGTCGGATAATAAGCAAGTTAGTTATTCGGTTCTTTCTTTATATGTTGATGACATTGTTTCATATAACATATTTCAAACACAATTTGAATACTTTCTCATCATTCACATATTGACTTAAACGAGGAACCTTACAAGTACACCTCCGCTCCGTCACATCGAAAGCTCCCCTCCGCCGTAACTTTCATGACTCCATGCATTTTTGGTTCCGGTACAGAACATATTTAAACCTATTTTTTTAACAACAAAAAGGAGTTGCCAAAACGCTAAGGAACCAAACAAACAAGGGGCGCTAGACTCATAACATTAGAATGTAAAAGAAGACACAATAAAGAAGGATGAGCAACTAAAATGGTACGATAAAAGTCATCCAAAAGATCTAAGCAGGAAAGAACACCAACACATGAATTAGCTATATGATAGATATGAGTAATAAAGAAGTGTCAAAAAGGATCACTTACGAGAGTGAAAATCTCAAACAAAAAAGATTGAAGATTAGCTATATCAATATATTTACTTTTAATTGTGCTAAGCAACACCTGAGTGTTATCACATTAAAGATAAATGACAATGAGTTGTTTTGTGAGGCGAAGATTGTGGAGCATATTCCAAAATCGATCCAAAATAAGCTTACAAAAATTTCCTAGAAGATGATTCTAAACAATGTGCAACTCTTTCATAACTAGGCCAAAGTAAAGAGAGAGCAATTTGTCATTACATAAACTAAATCATACAAAGTATGTTAATTGATAAGTTCCATACAATACAATTCAAATAAATTACAAAAACATGAAAGAGAATAACCAAACTTTGCCTGCATTTTCCCTGTATGCCACTAACTTCTAAGATATAACTTGAAGGGTCTTCACTTTCTCTCGGCTAACTGATCTGTTTCATCCTCTCCTTCTCCTATGTAGTCACTCACCTTATACAAAAGCATCTCTTTCTATTGCTATATCACATACTAGCTAGTATATATATATATATATATATATATATATATATATATATATATATATATATATATATATATATATATATATATATATATATATATATATATATATATATATATATATATATATATATATATATATATATATATATATATATATATATATATATATATATATATATATATATATATATATATATATATATATATATATATATATATATATATATATATATATATATATATATATATATATATATATATATATATATATATATATGCATGTAAAACTATTATAATACAATTTAGCTATGTTTGTCCAAAACTTGAAAACAGTTTGGTAGGACATAAACCAAATAACTACTGTAGTAAGATACATGTATATTTATTAGAAAGATTCTAAAGACACAAAATCTTTTACCATTATATTCATATATAGAAGTAGCACATGTCACTGCATCTTTGCATCATCAAATTTAAATCCATACGAAAAACAAGATGGAGAGGGGCAGAAGTTTGTCCATCTTACATTGTTGGAACATGTAAATTCGGACATTCAACGTTATTTATTCTAATGAATAACAATGTTATGAATAATGTGAATGACTTTATGTTTCTACTAGTTTCACTGCATGTTGATATGGTATAGATTTTAATTTGAAAGTAATGAGAGGACAACAATGTGAGTTTGTTGAGATGTTGGCCCTAGTACATTTTGCTTGTTGCTTGCACTATTTTAAGGGCAACCAAGTTGCTGACAGGAATAGGTTGAAGGCATAATAGGTGAACTTATATGTTTATATGTGCATGTACATATGTATTGATAGTACTATGTAGCCACATGAAGAGCAGAAAGGAATAGTTTACTCTTCTGCATCTGATTCTCACTCACTAACCCAACTGTGCCAGATCAACCGACATGTGACATTGTGAGGTGATGGAATAAATGTCTATTTAAAATAAATTTAATTTTATAAAGTGATGGAGCATGAGCTAGTAAAAATTGGTGAATTTGTATTTTCATTTGATTTTGTTATTTTGGATGTGAATAAAGACAAAGAGATCCTCCATTCTTACGTTGTTAGAGTATAATATTGGGTCAAATTTGTTGGGTTGTTAATGGTTAGGTCCAAATCATTTTTTGTTAAGCTTTTGCACTTTGTTCATTTACTTTATATATTCTCCTTGTACTATTATATTGAACTAACTGATGAGTAATACAGTTACACACACTCTCTCTCTCATAAAAGTGTATCTCTCTCTAACAAGATTCAAGGTGAACTTCAAGATTCATCTCTAATATAGTATCAATCGCGTGTCTCAATCACCTGCGTTGTAGTCCATCATCATTTGTCACGTAAAGTTTGGGATAAAATTCATCAGTACTTCAATTCTCAGATGAAAGCAAGAGTTCACCAACTGCGAATTGAATTGAAATATACCAAGAAAGGGAACAAATGTGTCATTGATTTTGTGCTACGCATCAAAGCTATTGTCAATTTGTTAGTTGCAGTTGGTGA